CATCTGAAACTGATCACAGCACACATGTTTCCCAGCACGGACAAGTAATTTTAGTTCACAATTACTCTTGACTCGAAGTCTATTAGGGACTTGGAAGATCATAAGCAACAACAACAACATTACCCCAGTGCCGCAAAAGCTCTCACCTACGGTGAGGGGGTATGAGGGGTTGGATGTCCGCAGTTTTACCCCTGTACTAAAACACAAAGAGACTGGTTCCGGATGACCAAAGAGGGACTTGGAAGATTATAGGGAGATAAAATAGGGAGGAAAGTATATGGGAACTTGGAAGGAAAGACAAAAGTGAAGGAAAACATTTTCTTTAGTTGAAAGTTGAAACTCAATAAACTCATTTTCGATATTTATTCAAAAGTTTCAAACTCTTTTTATCCTTTTCTTATCCCTTTTTGCTCCGATTTCATATGTTGATCCATGTTAGCAGACCTCAAATTCTTTTGGGACTAAGCCTTAGATGTTGTTGTTGTTGTAGTAGTAGTATTCAAAGTTCCAAACTCATTATTTATCTAATTCTTTATATATAAAAAAGAAAAATAAAGATTTGTAAAAATGTAAAAACATTAATCATATTGAATTTCCTTCCCGTTTTCCACCCAAAGAAAATACAGCGCTTTCCAAAAACAAAATGCTCCCAGAGACTTCACGTTGAGTGTGAACTTTATTTGCAGGTCCTACAGTTCTACTAACCCTATGAGCAATAGGTGACTAATGGGTACACACCAAGTTTGTGGAAGGATTATTCCATTGATAACTTGACCTCCAGAGGAGGAAATGCCAAGTATGAAAAAACATCTTAGGTTAGATGAGAACGGACAAATGGACATTAATGAACTAATTTAGAGACCTTAACTCAAACATATTGAGATTATGAGAAGAATGAACTTGAATATGTTGCTCGGTAATAATCACCAATTTGGTCATCCAGCAATTCCTTTTAAACTTTCAATAGTGCTTTCTGTTGTAGTGTTGTTTTCCTCAGGTCATAGGGTTGAATACATCTAGGAAAGCTCGACTAGACCAAAAATACTAAAAATAAATTGTACAGAAGGCTTTGAGAGTTTGAGCAACTTCAAAATGGAAATCCAGATACACAAACTGCCATATTTCAGTTCAAGAAATTCAAACATTTTTTTTATTCAATCCGCAGAGTACAACTAACTGAGTATTCCACAATTGATGGCCAATTCTTCAACTATCCAAAAGAAAGAGGCTCAATCTCATTTATAGTTTCTATGATAAATGTATGAATGAATCTAAGTAATTTCGAATAAAGATGAATGAGTTGTGCGAAACCATTCGGAAATTATATATAATGCGTACTTGTTTGTTGTTTCCGTTGAATAGGCACGAAAATCTGCATCTGCACTTGAGCTTGTTTTGCAGATTAGTCAAAATGTTGTTGGCTTCCGAAAACTGCGGCGATTTACGGAGGCGATGAAGAGCGGACTCGGACAGAGACGATGAGGAGTTACGGCGGTGATGAGCATCGCCCGGCGTTCTAGTGGGAGGGCGTATCCTGAGCATATGCGCCATAGTGTAGTTTTTTACTTTTTCCTCCGGCTTATTTGTTTTTGTAATTTTTGATAATTCTTCACGCACTCGAAAAGAAAGAAAAATTAAATTGCGCTCTGACTGATGGACGAAAAATTGATAGTAATAATCTGAACTATCGACGGTCTGCTTATAATAATCCCAACTATCGATTATTTCAGAATAATCCCAACTTTAGGGAACTTCCGCTAATAATGGTCTTTAAGAATAAATTCTTGTAATTTTTAAAGTGGGTGAGAAGAGATATAACAAGTAATGCCTATAAATAATACCAATTTTTAATTTTTACACTTAATTTATAGTTAAAATTTACTTTCTATAGGAGTTAAATCTGATCATGGACCATTATTGGCGGACAGTCCATATAATTGAGATTATACAAAAATAATCAATAGTTGGGATTATTGTCGGCGGACCGTCAATAGTTAGGATTATTATTTTCAATATTTCTTTTTTTTTATCATCAAATCCAACTCTTATATTAAAATCATTAGAAAGCGGATCGTTACAACAAACTCAAAAAGATCAATCCTGACAAGAACTATCTCTAACCAACTCTCACAATAAATCCTACGACTAGCCTCAGAGACGATCAACCCTGAAAGAGCAATGTGAATCGCTAATCATCCAATGGCGGATCCAGTATACAAAGCTATTGGGGGCAGAGTAGGGATGGATCGGGTCCGGGCGGCCCGACCCAGGACCGACCCGAGACCAGTACTGTTAGGACTGGACCGGGACCGGTTTTCCGGTACCGGTACCGGCCCGCCACATGAACCAACATAGAAACGGAACGGGCTCGGGCTTGATTTTTTGGGACGGGACTTGCATGTCCCGAGCTCGGTTCCAGTCCCTATGGATATATTTTTAATTTTTTTTATTAGAGGGTGGGTACTAACCTGGGACCGGTACTATTTGGACCCAGACCGGAACCAAATCGGGTCAGTACCGGACTTTAATTATTTAGAACTTGGACCGGTCAGACCCGGGTCCAAGACCGACCCGGCTCCATGGGTTTTTTTACATGAATATTACTAAATTAAAACTTATTTACACAAATATGACTATTAGTTATTACAATGTCATGTCATAGTAACTCAAGTCTAAAATTTAAACATAAGTTACTATAATTTCATAACTACTCAAGTCAATAATCACACTTTTTGTATACAATCTTTATTTTAGTCATAAATATGTAATTATTTCAATTGAAAATACTCGTAATAAAGTACACGGGGATCTTAAAATATTGCCACTAATTCTTAATACAATGCACCCGCTATCATTTTTATAAATTTGAATAAATTTTACACACAAGGTTTAAACAACAAACAAATTATATAAATACACATTATACAATAGTGAAATAGTTAATACTTGATGGGTTTTGAGAGAAACCTACACTCGTTCTTCGCTTATCTTTAGACCAGGCTCTAGCGAGAGAACTATTCCAGCTTGTGGTCAGCTGAATTGCTCTAATTTTAGGGATATATAGCCTTCATGATTAAAAAATTTGAAAACTTTTTTAGTTTGGAATTTGGGCATGGGGCTATTTGGGCTTAGTGGACTACGGATAAGGGGGCATTTATGTTTTTAATTGGGGGCATTTATATGGGATGGATTTTTTCTTAACGAATTACAAGAAGCTAGTAGTTGTTTATTAGGGGCAGCTGCCCCCTCCTATGGTAGTGCATCACTAGCCATATAGATCCTTCTAGTGACATAATTTCTAGCACACTTGACACTCATTATTGTAAACCTAATGCTGAAGTCCTCAATAAAAAACGTAAACAAATAGAACACGAAAATAAAAACATAAAAAATAAAATAACTGACAAATACTCCAATCCCCGACATCTTGATCAATCCAAGGAGGTGGTTCAAGAGGGGGGCGGACCGCCGCTCTGTAATATCCCTTGCTCAGCTCTTCATCGCTCCCCATCTGTTCATCACCCAAGCCGAGGGTCGGAACCAGATAAATCAACCCCTGAATCGTAGCAAGATTGCCACTACCCCCTCTTGCTTGCTGCATGTTCAGGAATCCAACTCGCCGGAAAAGCTGTCGAGCAATTTAGAAGCCGTCTGTAGAGACTCGTTGATGAAGAAGCCGAACCCGTCGAGACCTCTTCGCTGCTGAAGCGGAGAAAGCTAGGGTGTCTGAATCCAAAGCGTCCAACAATCCAACACCGAAATCCAAACAAAAGAGATCTCGGTGCCGCGGTCAAAAACCGCCACCGGACAAAAACCTAAACCAGACCTATACGGCGGTGCTAGAGAGAGAAATTTTTAAAGCGTTGAGTGTGACTGACTACCGATGGACTTATGTAGTTAAAAATGATTTTATATACGGGGTAGTAATTTCACTAAAACTAGTCATAAAAATAACTTGTATTTAACATTTTTTTATTATTACACAACTTAACATGCAAAATAAAACTTGTGTTTGATGAAAAAAATAATTAATGAAGTTGATAAAGTGAAAAATAAAATCATCATACATGTTCTTAAGCCATATACCAGGGGCAAACAGTATCTAGACTCGAAACCCAATCAAACCGGACGGAGTTGGCGGTGCGGGCTAGACAAGTCCTCTACGAACGTTACTTTGGATGACATTTTCTAATTCATTTTAAATGATTTTGAACGAATACTTCTTTTGTCTCATTTTATGTGTCTCACTTTGACTTGATGCAATTATTCATAAAATGGTTGAAAAAAGTAAAAATTGTGATTAAAATTTGAGTATAACAAAGTGACATGATGTAGGTCACATATTTCCTTTCAATCGAGGAAATTAGACACTTATTTTGGGACAAACCAAAAAAAGAAAGTATCATATGTAAAATGAGACGGAGGAAGTAACATGTGGAAACATTCATCTCACGGAATACATTATGTTATGAATTAATCATATTAAATTATAGATTTAGGTCATTTACATATTTTAATTACAAAATGATTATAATACTCTCTCTGTCTTATTTTACCTGTCTTACTTTCATTTTTGAGTTGTCTCAATTAAATGTCACATTTCTTTTTTTTGAAAGAAATACGTAGTTTACAATATTTCACTTTACTATACTCAAATCTCGACCACAATTTTACTTTTTCAACTACTCTATCAAAGCTTGTGTCAAAATCAAAGCGCACACATAAAATGTGACAGAGATAATACTACCTCCGTTTCGGAAACAAGTTCCCAAGTTGACTTTCACACATTTTAAGGAAATAAAGTTATTGAGGGGTAAATTTTACTGTTTTGACACTGTTTTGCATTGTTTGACACTGTTTGATGTTGATTAATTTGCCAAATAAAAAAGTGAGAAGTTTATTTTGAGACATACAAATAAGAAAAGTGAGAATTTGTGTGTGGGACGGAGAAAGTATTAATTTATATTTTTTTTCAAAACATTTGTAGAGTCTAGGATGAATTTTTTGGTCCAATGGAAAGAGAAGGGCATCAAATCACCAACAATTTTTCGAAAAAGAAACAACTAGTACTAACCTTGCTCTTTACAACCAGTGTTTACTTTTTACCGGGAACTTCTTGAGAGCTGAGAGGGTGGATCTTACGATCTACTACGTAATATATCAGGAGTCAAACTTTTTGGAGAAAGACAAAGATGGCGGAAGATTTGGTATTGGACACTGCAATCAGAGATTGGGTGCTTATACCGTTATCGGTAGTTATGGTGCTCATCGGAGTCCTCAGATACTTCGTATCGAAGCTCATGCAGTCATCTTCTTCCCAGTCACCTGATGCTAAAATCGTCAAAGAAGGGTTTTTTACATCTTCCCACTCTCTCGTGCGCGTAATTATATAGTTATGTCATTATATTTTTATTTGTTAATATATCTGAAGATCTTATGCAGGCAGGCGATAATAAGGGCTAGGAATTTGAGGGCAAATGCCAATTTTCTTCCTGCCAAGTCTTTTAGAGCGAGGCGATTTTATTATAGCAATGAGGTTCATAACTTTAATCATTTGAAATCTACTTAACTCCAGTTCTTTTAAATTTACTAGTTGATTGCGAGTTGAATTGTATAAATAAATTAAAATGCTAGCAATAATGTTACCAACAAATTTTGCATTTTGTCATCTATTTGCTTGAAGGTGAGAATTTAGTTCATAGCTAGGTTGTCATTTTTGGGGCTCAACTTGGAGTTGTATTTGATGGGCCGAGGGTTAAGTTTTAAATTTTTAATTGAGATGCTCAGATTTCTTTACTTTCAGCATGAGGGTATAACTGCAAGACAAAGAAAATGAATATACAATAAAATACTCTGCAACAGACTAACAGACCCAGGGAAAGGGGATAGATTTGAATGCAACTATTGACCATTGAGTAATGCAAGTATATTTTTTTTTAACTTTTCATCCCAATCAATGTCTGATTAGGAATGCAAATCGGCAGTAGAATAGCATATAGAACTGTATTAGTAAAAGTAAATGATACAGGACATGTTATTACAGTGGTAGTACTGTAGTACGTAGAGGGAATGGCTAAAAGTTCTCGGGAGAAATGCAAATTTGCTCATAGCCTCCTCAAACTATTCCCCTCATATCATTTTAGTCATCAAGCTAAAATCTCTACCATTTTGGTCCTCACCATAAAAGTCATACCATTTTGGTCATTCATTAAAGTTCCATCCATTTATCCCTTAAGTTCCTCGTGGCATGACACGTGTTGCCAGTGCTTAGCATGCTATTGGACAAATGCCATCCCACATGCTCTTGTTGTACAATTAATTAGTCTAAATCGGTTTACAAATACTCCATTTGTAGTCTATTGTTTGGTACACATGTACAATAGGTTTGACTCAATATTCAAGGGAAAAATAGTAGGGGTAATGAATAGGTAGAAAAAGTAGGAGAGAAAGTGGAAAAGAATGTAAGAGAAGATGAAAAAGTAGAAAAGTGAGGATAAGTGAGTATTTTTAAAGTTTAACTTACCAAAAATGGAAAGTGTAGCAAAAATTAAAATACATCCAGAAAAGAAAGTGCAGTAACAAAAGAATACGGAGGGAGTATACAACAACGTTACCGCAGTGCACAAATGCTCCCACCAATGGTGTGGACGTGTGGTAAGGGGGTCAGATGTACGCGGTCTTACCCTTGCATTAAAGCACAAGAGATTGTTTCCAGATGACCCGAAAATCGCGTCAAAATTTGCATGGAGTGACTGCTGCTTTATAACCATTGTTTGTAATTGCGCAATGCAATTGCGCCTCATGGCGCGCCTCAGCTAATTTCTGGACTAAGGCGTAAAAGGCATTGCATATGGCGCTGGGAGTGTGATGTACGCAATATTGCACTGAGGCGTACGCAATATTGGATACGCAATAAGGCGCTCTGAGGCGTACGCAATAGGAGGTCAGGGTGTAAGGGTATTATTTGGGCCCACTCGGCCCACTTTTAAATTTTTATAATTGATCTTATGATCCCTATTTCAAACCAGTAGTTATTGATTGAATTTTTGCAGTCAATCAATCTAATTAATTTAAATTTTCATATCTTAGATTTTTGTTTTGATAAATGATTCAGAATGTTTTGGTATTCCATGTTACTTTGCTTGGTCTCTTATGGTTTGTTTTAATATAACATTTGATGACTTTTGATGATAATGTTTATTTTTTATTATGTTTATATATATATATATATATATATATATATATATATATATATATATATATATATTACGCCTCAGCTACACGCCTCATTGCGCAATGAGGCTTACGCAATATGCAATATTAAAAAAACGCCACGACTACGCAATTCGCAATTTCGAACCTTGTTTATAACAAAGACGCGCAGATAGTTTAGTGGGTCATTTTGCTTTATTCAATTATTCCATGATATTCCCAAGCCAAAAATAGTTAGTTTGGCTCCATTGGAAATGATGGAAAAATACAGAGGGATTAAATTTTTTAAATAATTTAATTTATAGCAGCAAATGCACTCAGATTTTTTAAACTCACTTCTGGCTATGATCTTTTGGAAAATTTAAACCAAAGACTAATTTATTACAATTAAATCTATCTTTAACTATATATTTAATAATTATGAACATCCACATTGTACTTTCTGTTCAATGAAAAGTACAAACCAGCTTTGGTATGTACAGCTGGTGTTTTCTTGTTAGAACTAATAGAAGATGTGTATTATATTATTACAGCATATATAAGTAAATATATGTAAATAGATATATATGTAAACCTTCTGTGTGTATGTACCTTTGTTTTCTTGTTAGAACTAATAGAAGATGTGTAGTATACTATTACAGCATTTAGTACATATTGGCCTGGCTGGTGCTAAAATAGACTATTATACGGAGTAATCCTTAGTACCTTGTCGTTAAATGTTCTACAGTAATAAAAGTAGTTTGTTTAAATTAAACATTTTAAAAGTGAATATCTATACTTTACTCGTTAAAATGCCCCCTATTGTTTTAACAACCGTTAAGTATATTTCTAACGGCAATTTTTAGTGTACTTTTTGGATTACAAATACTTAACTTTTAGTTATGTGTGGGAAAATATTGAATAATTGTTGCTATAAATTATAATTGTAAATTAACTTGAATAATTTGAGTATCACAACAAAGTCATGTGTGTGTGTGGTGTGCCACCTGACAATGTGTGGCATGCCACATGACAGGTAATGGATAAATAGATGGAGAATGTAAGAGGACCAACATGATATGAATTATGAAGTTTGAAACTCAAATTTTAGAATTCATAGTTTGGCACCAAAATGACAAGAATGCAAAAGTTTAAGTACTAATAAAGATACATTTTACCTAAAGGTTATAATGGGAAATTGGTGTTGTGTTGAGTGGATAAGCAGGCCCTGAAGCTACTCTACTTATGCATAAGTGGCCAATTATTATTGTATTGTTTAAAAGATGGCATGGCTAACATATATGTTCTTAGAATTGTACATTCATCAAGTTAAATAAATGAGTTTCTGGTTATATGCTCTACACAGAACCATTACACACTCAGTTAATAAATTTCTAACATATAGTGAAAAGACTTACCCCAGTACATTTTTTGTGCAGGAAAATGGGTTACTTGTTGTTCCTAAAGGACAAGCTCAGAATCCACAAGCGCAAATGCTTTCTGATCCTAACATGGCTATGGATATGATGAAGAAAAATCTGTCAATGATTATACCTCAGGTATTACATTCTTATCGCCACACTTTTATGTGGGTTCCCTTGGGGTGTTTACATCGTTGTGGCTGTAGTCTTGAGTAGTAATGTTCTTGTGCAGACCCTTACTTTCGCATGGGTGAACTTCTTCTTCTCAGGGTTTGTAGCAGGTTTGCAATTCTTACCTTTCGTATTTTAGTTGGTCCTTGGAATTAAGTTCTTGAGCTATGTTGTTTATGCACAATACCCGGCTTGATGAGGAAAAGTGAGTTTTTTGTTGGCTTCATTTGATAGCTTTATCCAGCTTATTCTGAAAATGACTATTAAGTACCGGTTTGGTGGGGCGTTTTTCGGCTTATTAGCCTTCTCGGTTAGATGAGGATAAGTGTCTGTTTGGTGGGCAGTGTTTTGCCTTTTAGCCTTTTCAGCCAGAATTGCACCAAACTCTAATTTTTGTTCTCTGCGCTGGCTTAACTGGCTGATCTGATCATCAATATAAGCAGTGCTGCATTTCGACGTTCAATTTTAGATAGTATTATTTTCTATAATTTATTTAAAAATTTAAATATTTATTTTGTATAACTCAACAGATTGAGCCAATTCAGCCATTTCTATTTACAAATTCCCTCACTTCAACTATTTCAGATCATACCAAACATTTTTTTCTTTTGAAAAGTCAGTCCATTGAAATTGAGCCATTTCTGCTAAATGATGATACTTACCGAACTAACTATTAGCTCTTACTGTTTATTTTCTTATGTTATATCATGTCTATTTGTAAACACTTTGGTGATGCTATTTTCAGCAAAAATACCATTTCCATTAACTCAAAGGTTCAGGTCAATGTTGCAAAATGGGATTGACTTGAGTACAGTTGACGTAAGCTATGTTAGCAGTCGATCTTGGTACTCTCCCCCACCAAATGTTCATTCTTCTGGTGAAATTTAGTACATTTGGGAATATTTCTATAGTACCATTTTCTGAAGATTTGCTATGCTTTCAGGTACTTCCTCAACCTTTTTGGGCTGAGAGGCCTATTTAGTCTCATTCTGGGAGAGGAAAATGGTAAATGTTGTCTATGTTGATGTTATATTGTGTTTGTGATATATGTTGTTATCTATATATGTTTAGTATGTATACAGTATATCATATTGAATAATGGGAGCTTGGGTATGATTTTAAATTTAACATTCTTGGTGTTTATTTATACTAGTATTGAAAATTACTCATTGCAGCTACAGATGATACCCAACGCATGATGCAAATGAGTGGATTTGGTTTTGACCCATCAAAGGTGGGGTTTTCTACATTTCTTTCTTAATATAAAAATGCGTTGGCTGAGCTGATGTACTTATTATTCTTCTTCAGCGCTGGAAATCTGCAAAAAGAATTAGATTAGTTAAATGTGCACAATTTCCTTCTTAACAACTATAACATGTGTATTACCTCCTCCATTCGAAAACAGAGTCAAAGAGTCTCTATTGGTTAGACCCGCACAAAAATGGGTTCAGGCCCGCCCCGGCCCGCAAAAACGGGCGTAACCCCATGTCCATACCCGCCCGTAAGAGCGGGCCGGGTACTCCACCGGGCCGCCCGGCCCGGAAAAACTTTACATTTTTAAAATTATAAAATATTTTTAATACTTTAAAGATAATAGTAGACATTTAAAAAATTATTAATACGCTTATAATGCTTATAGGCATTTCACCACATACAAAAATAATACTTACTCAAAAATAATAATGAGAAACTATATCTGAAATTTAAAATTCAAGCACAAAGTATTATGTTCAAGTACAAAAATAGATACTATATTAGTAGAGCTAGTTGTTAAGAACTAAAAACTTAAATTTAAACTTAATAAACTATAAATATGTATAAAGATAAATTAATAAATATAAATACACATGTGTACATGTATATATTAAATTAGTGTGTGTGTGTTAAATGTAGCGGGTCGGGCTTATCGGCCCGAACGGGCCTACACCCTAACCCAAGCCCACCCATGTTATTGCGGGCCGGGTCCAGACCGGTGGGTAAATGTATATGTCCAAGCCCGCCCATTTGTGCGGGCTGGTTGGGCGGGCCGGGCCAATTTTGTGCAGGTCTACTGTTGGTTAATGTACAACACTTTTAAGTCTTAAGTCATGCCATCGTACACATTTTTAAAACTTATTTTTTTCGTACAAGTAAAGTTATCATATTCAACATACTTATAACTTTTTATAAAATTATTAGAAAAAGGTAGGTATGTTTACTCATACCGTCTTGAATAAAGGATCTCCCTTTCCTAGTTTCTTTTGCCTCCCGTCCCAAATTAATGTTTCTCTTTCCTTTTAAAGAAAGAAATGTGCAGTTCTCATTTTTCTCTCTTCTCAGCATAAAATTTGACCAAAGCGTTTACTGTTCGAAGGGAGCGTTTTTGTAGGACGGAGAGAACATGAAACGTTTGAATCATGTTCTTTTTATAATCTTTCTAGACGAATGGAGTATCTGTTACTATATTAGTAGTCTTTCTCATCTTTGTACTCTTTTATGTTCAGAGTTTGGGTGCAGAGAAGGACAATTTAGACATATTGCAGCATGAATGGGCATTGCCTAAATTCGAGCAACGAGCGGAAGCTGTTTTGAGGTCATTGCTCAACTGATTTTTCATACATACATTGAGTTCGATACACTTATGCTTCATCCGTAGGAGTCGTTTGGGTTGGCTCCCTCCCCCCTTGAATCTACCTCGGCTGCTCACAATGGTTGAGATCTATTGGAAGGAAAATTAACAGCGGCTTCATGGAATGGGCATCTGAAGCTTCCTTAGTTTCTTGAAGTAGTGAACTTGATCATTTTAGCGGAATCAAATTCTTTATTTTTATTTGTCTTAAGATCTGATATGCTGCTGCATTTATTTAGGTACATATTTTATACTATCGTATTTTGGTATGAATCAATTCAGTGCATCTCAACCTCCATGCTGAGCTTAATAGCCCATTTGATAGGGATAAATGGATAAGCGTTACCGAAATGACTGGTTAGATTGTGAAGCCATGATCAACATGTTGTTATGTTCCTTTATAGTCGTGAATCTTTGTTTTATTATATCTTTTGTTATTATTAAAGAGTAAATTAATATGGAGTATGATAAAAAATAAGAGCTGAAAAAGGTTGCAATCAAAATATCAAATGATCCGGAGTTTATGGAAGGAGTTACTCAAATGATCAAATCTAAAGTGGCAGACAATAGTAGGGGTGGACTCGGGCCGGGCGGCCCGGCCCAGAACCGGACCTGCCCGGTACTGTTTGGGCCCGGCCCGGTACCCGGTCTTTGAGCCGGTTCGGGACAACCGGAACCGGTCATTTCCCAGTGCGGGCTCGGGCCCCCTAAAACGCGAACCGGCCCGGTTGGTCCGGGTCCGGTTCGGGCCTAATTTTTTTTTTTTTTGTTTTTTTCAATTTTATTTATTCTACCGGGTTGGGTTTGGCCTAAATACATTCTCTCTACAATCTAAAATTTTCTGAATTTGAATCTTCGCACCCAATTTTCTTTTTCAACAATTCTCTTAACAATATCTTATTATAATGTCTAAAGCAACCTGGCACATCATTCAAATAAACTTCAAATAAATTAATCATTGGAGATGCCAAAACATTATAGAATTTTCACTACACAAAACAAAACTTATTTGTCCAACTTTTTCTCACTACACAAAACAAAACTTATTACCGAGGGCGTATCCACTATGGGGTCTACGGGGCAGTGGGGGCAGCTGCCTCCTCAACCCCGACTCATCCCCTATATACACATCTAAAATAAGAAAATTTTCACATAGGGTTAAGAGTTTTTCTTCTTCTCAAATATAGAATTTATGTAGTCTTATTAAAAGAATATAAAAGGATAAAAAACAGTGAATTTTGTCAAGTTTAATTTCTATTTACCTAAATTTCTCAGATTTTATCTACAATTGCATCTTTTCACACATTATACACAATATAAATTGATGTTCTTTTATACAGACTTGTACATGTCCTCACTTTCAATTGCAGATAGTCATTACCTATATTTGAAGCTTTTCTAGGTTTTCTTACATCAGGTTATTTGCACTACTGCTAGTGCAAGCTTTTCTTTTTACACTAGAACTTAAACTACTGGTGTAGAAAAACCTAGAAAATCCTTTAAACATGACTGCTTTTGAAAGTAATGACATAAAGCCAGTTAAACTTATCTGCAAAAAATCTGTAAAACTGCAAGGTACTAGCATAGCCATAAAGTCATCTAGCCTAAACTTGCCGCCATAAAAAATAAAAAAGAAAAACCGTGTGTGTGTGTGTGTGTGTGTATATATATATATATATATATATATATATATATATATATATATATATATAGAGAGAGAGAGAGAGAGAGAGAGAGAGAGAGAGAGAAGTGATCAGGTCCAGCCGGAGGGACAGGAGGCGCCCCAAACGGCTCAAAGTTGTCATTCAAATCATTTTTTGAAGTTGTGTGTGTGTGTGCGTGCGCGTGCGCGTGCGCGTGTGCGCGCGTGTGTGTGTTGTCAATCCCAAATAGCAGAGCGGGCAGACCCAAAAACGCTATAGCAGTATAGCGGATAGCGGGATGACCGTTATTTAGACTACTTTCAAATATAATACATAAGTAATTACTAGAAGCATATATAATACATTGCATACACATTTCAAATTCAAAAAGTATGATATATGCCAATGAAGCTTTCAAACATCATAAGTCTTAACATTCATAATCCTAAATTATTTAGTACATAGTAATACTCTTTTAAGTCTTTAGTTTCATGACCAAAACACAAAATGCTATTAATGATTAAAACATCTTGAATAAAAAACAAGGTTCTAGTTTAAGAGTTTAAGTCTTGATATATTAACAGTCAAAAAAAGTAGATCCAACTTCCAAGCCCTTTGAACATGGCAGTGGCAATACTCCATGCTTAAAGAGAAGAAAAGAAGACTGCAACAAAGAATGAAGGAAGAATGAAGATGTTGCAGGCTCGCAGCACAAGTAGAAGAATGAAGGAAGAGTGCAACAGATGCCGTGTAAAAGATGAAGCAGCGATTCTAGAAAGAGGCAAAGTGGAAACTAGCGAGCAGTCATCGCAGATGAAAAGGTTGTCGACTTGTCGTTGAAAGAGAAGTCATCGCACAGAGCAAAAAGAAAGAGCAGACATCACATAGTATTCAAAATATGGGGCCATTTGTAAGGTTCTAGTCTGCGCACGTGTAGGAGGGTCTACTGGGGTTAATATTTTATATTAAAAGACTAATTTACCCTTCCAAAAAAAACGTTTTTTAATCAGCCCTAAGAAAATTAAACACAGAAACGTTTCAGGACATTGTAGCGGCGCTATTGCGGCCGCCATAGCCGCTTCACCCAAACGCTCCGCTAGATGTCTTCTTGTAGCGCCAACACAGTCTGCCGCTGGGCACCACCGCTGTAGCGCGCTATTGCGCCGCGATTGACAACACTGATATGTGTGTGTGTGTGTCTCCCTGGGGTTTCGAAATGCATCTCAAGAATTTGTTACATAAAAGTTAAATTAGCATGGGACTAGAATAACAAAAAGCACCAATAAATATTCATTGGAGGCGAACTCAATACAAAAGGTAAAGCAGAAAATTATAAATTCTACACGTTGGTTTTAACATGAGGTACCTATAATTCTTTATACTTTACGAAATTAAAGGAATGAAACGCAGAGACTTCATTTCAGAGAAAATCTGCCTCTTCTAACACTGCTAGGGTTCATAGTGTGAGATGTGAATCCAATGAGCCTGTCTGGTGTTGAATAATCTTCTTCCTCACTGTCATCAGATCTCCACCTCGATCTCACACTTGCATTTGTGTCCTCTTCATGGCTGCTCACAAGTACCAATGATTACCAATACAATTTTCCCTCTTTTATTAGTTAATACCCAGTTTGGTCTCAATTATATGTAATACTCTTTTGGTCCTCGAACTTTTTATTGGACTCATTTAGGTCTTAAACTTTCTCCATTATTTGCAATGGAGCCTAAGACTCGCTAATTTTTTGGTTTGGGAATATGATGGAATAAAGCAAAATGGCTCACTAAACTGTCTACGCTTCTTTGCTATGAAGCAACAGTCAGTCCATGCAATTTTCGACGCGATTTTCACTATGGGTCATCCGAAAAAAGTCTCTCTGTGCTTTAGTACAGGGGGTAAGACTGCGTACATCCGATCCCCCTTACCCCACCGTTGGTGAGAGCCTTTGCGGCACTGGGGTGATGATAATTTAGCTCTTAAACTACGGCCACTTGGTCCCAATTTTGTCCCTATACATATTTGTTTTTAAATAAGAACCTATTTTTTTACGGTAAATTTAGACAAAAAAATGGCCCTCCTTTGCACATGAAAATTGCTTTTCCTAATTAGAGCAAAGTAGGCAGGGCTAAAACGAGCCTAAAAAAAGTTGACGACCAAGTTGAGTAAGAGTGTATAATCGAGGGGCCAAATCTGGTATAACCGTGTAAAGTCTCTCTCTCTCTTAACTACTGGACAATCTCGATGAAGAATAGATACGAACGAAGATATTTACCTCCAGGAAAAATCCATGGCTTCTGTGAGTGAGCGGTGCTTCTTAGAAATTACAGATCCATTGAGGGATACCTTCTCAACCCTCTCTGAAGAAACTTGATTGGTTTGGTAATTCCGAAGGCGGCTACTGCGAGGTACCCTTAATGAACTTCGTTCTGTTGTTGGAGAACTAATGAATGAATGAGTGTGTGGCTTAGGAGAGATATGGTTCCCAACTTTAAAGATAGAAAGATCAGAAAGTCCATATTTTGCTGAAGTCTCGAGAGACGAAGCATTAAGGGAGGAAATTATTCCATTTTTCGCTTGGCCAGCAGGAGGGTGTGGGGAGGAAATAATTGCATTGTCTGCCCCGTCAGCAGGCGGGTGTGTCAATAAACTGGAGAAAATAGGTCCTTGAGAAACTTGCAGATCAGGTTTTGCTGAACGGTCCTTTGCCTTATCCTTATTTGGACTTACTGCTTCAGCCAACTTTCCCGCCTTTACTTGATGCTGAATGATATCAGGAAGCAACTCCACCCCTTTTTGCTGCAATAGTATAAAGCATGTAACCTCTACTGCATTAGTTTGGACTTGACTTCACTGTTTAAATAAACCACATGAAATGCCTACATTTTCAAGAAACTTAAACAGCGCAAAATAACAATAAATGGAAAACTGAAAAGAAATTAAAAATGACTTAGTAAGGTCTGAAAATGGCAAATGTAGGAAAATGTGTACTCCGTATAAAACTTGGTCTTCAACAAAGCAGGAAAAAGCTTGATCTACCATTAGGAAGATTCCTTAAGGACAAACTTACAAGTTCCTACTCAGTTACAAATAATACGCCCAGAACCCCAGAATATAAACATTACGGGTGCCATTGAATACAAAATGGAGAAAAAACAGAATAAAACTGAATCGCGTCTTGTTTTAGATATATAAACCAAAAAACTGTTTACAAATGAGACCAGATGGAAAATTATGATGCTCTCAATCAATCTATAAAGTGAAAAAACATAAGAGTTCAATTGACCAACACGGCAACACCTGGGCAAACTTCCATAAATTGAATAAAAATTTATTCACTTTCATCCAATTAATAGTTTCACCATAGCACAAGTGAAAATCCAAATTTGCAATCTTTTCATTTTAATTGAATAGAAAGATAGGCAATAAAAATATACAGACTTACAGCCAAACCCGTTCTCCAATGGTTTATTGATCTTATCCTAGTTAACACAGCTTCACTGGGAGAATTTTGAGAAATGAAGTTGTCCTCCATGGTTTGAAGCTTGCGATCAATTTCATATGCCTCTATGTACCTATGTCGCTGAACAAAGACAAAAAACCCATATGAAAGTCATTGTTTATGCCAAATAATCTTATGATTAAAGTTCTCACTGCCTGAATACTAATAAATAAAAGAAATTAGCACAGGCATAGAAAAGTGTGTATGACTTTGAGCTGGCAGTATTTAAGCAGATGGTAGAAAAAAACAATGATATTGTTTACATATAAGATTTTGTACCTGTAA